TATAAATACAAATAAGTTATTTGACAACCAACATCTTGATTTTGACTGATGAAATTGGTAACAATGAGATAAAACATAAACAAAAATACAACATGATTTACAGAATCAAAAGTCGAATTATAGTTCTGTCATTGAGTAAATGTTGCTCAAACAAAATGGCTTTTGCTGAGTGGAAGTCATTTTACTCTATAAAGGAGTGTATTAAAATTGTTGAAAAGTACAAATACTTAAAACCAAAAAAAAAATTGAAAAAAAATGATCCAATAACACAGTTTGTTAGAATGATTTTCTTGTTGTAATGTTTTTATTAATTACCAAATTAACTGTATTTATTACTTTGAGATGTTTTGAAATGATTGATCAAATGGTCTAAACTCAATTTATGTTATTGGTTATTTTATTATATATTTTGGTTTTAATAATAATTACAATATCCTTTTGGATTTATTATTTAATGTAAGTTGAAAACATATTCATTCAAAAACTATAGTCATGGTAAAAAAGGTTGTTGATTGAATAAAGGTTCGGTTTATTTTTGTATTTCAAGAAAAGTTACAAATTTCTTCGCATCATTGAAATAATATTGAAAATATGTTTTTGAGCAAATAAAACTATTTATAACAAAGGAGTGTATTTTTAAAACAAATTGTTTTCTTCTCAATCTCAACATTTTTGTGTGTTGATTTTATAAAATGTATAACATTTTCAATTTTGAATCGAAAATTGTTTTTTTGTAATTCGAAAAACAAGTATAGTTCAATATAGTTAATATAGTTTCTGAAAAAATAAAAGTGCTTTTTTTCACCATGTTCGAAAAATAGAACACAAACAAGGATAATCATAAAAACGATAGTTGACAGTATGACAATTAGTTGTCAATTTTATAACATTAAGAGCTGTTTATTGAACATTATTGATATGACATTATACATAATCATTGTTGTTTTTCAAAAAAAGAAAATGAAAGTGCTTTTTTTCACCCCCTTTCATTTTTTGAGTAAAATAAGAAATGTAATTGAAAAAATATATTTTTGTTAAAATTGAGTACTCCTCTTTATTACAAACAACATTTGTATTGGAAGCAAACTATACACAATCATGAGTATCAAAATTATGGTCACACAATCGTTTTATAAATTTATTTTCTTGATAACATGAAAAATAGAAAATAAAGAGTCAATTGTTACATAAAGAAACGGGAAATCACCCAAATTTTACAAATATATATTGAGATTAGATGTCAAATTGTTGGGAAAGAATAAAGACAATTTTTCGAAACACTTCAAATTATAATTATTAATAAAATTAACCATTAATTATTATAAAAATGATAAATACAGCTGGTTTCAGAACTCAATAATCATGTCCAAACCACAGCGAAAACTCGCTTCAAAAAAATTGGATTTGAGCGTGTTGCGCCACAGTACAAAATCAGGTCGTGGCTGTGAGTTTTTGGATTTCTGTGAAACCCATGCAACAGAAATCATGGAATGTCTAACACTCCAACAACAAATGAAATTGTTGAGAAGTGAAAAATGGCTTGAAAGGGTTTCAATTGAAACGAAAGCCAAAGTGTTGGGTGTCTCACCCTCGACGGCCCGCCTCAACAACTTGTATGATGATGTCGAAGGGAAGTCTGGAAGAAAACGAGAAATTAATCAATCGAGGATGCCGTTGTTGTTGGAAACAATACGAGAAAGACAAAACACCACCAAACCAATTACCACTAAAGAGATGGGAAATATTGTAGAAGGAGTTGTTGGGAAGAAAGTATCAAAAAGAACCATCGCAAAACAGTTTGAGAAGGGAGTGTTTAATTAAGAAGATTGCAAAACCAATTGATAAGGAGAGAGCTGAGCTGAGTAAAGATGAGTTAAGAAGCTATGAAACTAGAGCTGTTGATTTGTTGAACAATGACAAACAATATGCCGGCGAAAGAGTTGTCCACTTGAATGGAGTTAAACCCTCCTTATCAACATGGACGAAAGTGGTTATTGTCCATTTGTGGATTCAAAAAGGAGCAACTTTTATGTTGACGACAATTATGACTACACCAACTCTTACTCTGTTGATCGCTCTCAAAAA